CGGCAGCAGCAGCAGCAGCAGAGCCGTCGTGCCTTCATCAATACAAAGTTCGAAAATTCAGAAGTAGCAGCTCCCTCAGAAATGCCCATTGCAATGCTGACAAACAACGTGGGAATACAATGGGCAGCAAAGGAGACAGCTAAACTAACAAGTGACTAGTGGAAAACTACACCTAAGGGAATACCTAGGCCAAGATCATTAATGGGCTATGAATTCTCAGGACGAAAAAACGTTTAGAGGTAGGGCATCTTGGGCAATATCTAAATGAAGTAGATGCCTCTGAGACAGCCTTGGGACCAAAAATATCAAGGATGCAGTACAAGAAGATGTATGCACTGGCTTGGCTGATCATACCCTCAAACCCTGAAATCACAAGCTGAAATACTTAAACGTCAAGACTCTGAACTTGCACTCTCAGCCGCCTGAACCCTCAAGCCTCAAGCCTCTCAACCCCAAACCCTCCGCCGCGGACATAATGCGAAAATCGATGAAACGGATGCCGCCGTCGAGCATGTCCTCGTTTGAAGTTTCATCAGTAGAAAAGACAACGAATAGGCTTCAGGCTCTGTTTATGGCTCAGTGGCTCATGGATAGCCATAATATGCAATGAGAAGGGCAGGTGAATATCTGAGACACTGCTACAGCCCCACTTGTAATGACCCAATTCGCCGCGCACTCCGAAACCCTGAACGTAAAAAGAGTCGCAAACCCTTAGCCCTTGAACTGGCATCTTTTTGGGTGCCGCATGGAGAAAATGCGTCGGGACTATGTTTTGATTTGGAAATGATTCGTTCCATGGGAAGTATGCGTGGAGTATCAAAAACTTGTGATCACCTGCCCCTAATATTCAATCTCGCGCCCTCTTGTATGCTGCCCAATACTCAAAGCTCTTGTAGCTAGGTGATGTCTAATATTTGAAGGGGTATTACGGGCTGTACTTGGCGGAAGGGCGTAGGAGCAGTCACCCTCCTATCCGCAGCAAACCCAGATAAGCAATGTTTGAAAAGACAGCCCCCTGAAGCGGAGATGCAACACTGGGGCTCAGGAAAGTTGTGGAACAAGGTTTGCTTTGGACAAACCCTACTGGATGTCTGGAATTGCAATGAACGCTTGCAAACTTTAGATGAAGCTTACTCGTCTTCTCTGGACTTCAGCAGATGCCTATAGCTCTCGGACCTCTACTAAAAGCAGATTTCAACACACCACTGGGAGTTGTGCATCTAAGCAAGGCAATCCTAGACCCAAACCGCAAGACAAAAGTTCCCAATTCCTTGGCATAACCAAAAAACACAACCAGGCCTTTGCGAGACCAACACTGAGGGCTTGTGTCCCCCTCCCTGGTCAAACTCACCACCCTATGCCATGCGCAAAGGATCATGGTCCCAGCGCTTTCATGCGACCCGTCCTCATGTGGAAGTCTGCAAATAATTGCATCTATATATATATATGTATATATATATACATATATCTATCTAGCTGTATATCTATATATATATATGCAACCCCCCCCTCAAAGATCCACCGTTTTTAGGGTAAAAGTAAATTTCGAAAGAAATTTAATGGGAAACTGGCCAAGGTGGACCTTGAAATTGATGTATTTCCTTGTTTTCCTTTTAAAGCAAATAATTGAAATAATTCTAAATTCACACATTTTTAATTATCTTGAAACTTATTTTCATTCTTTTCTTAGCAAATTATTCTATAGGCTATTCCAGATGGTTATATGGATTATCTTATTTGTTCCACCTATTGAGACTATTTACATAGGGGGGATGCTGTCCCCTTGTAGGATTTCAAGGAATGGGTTTCCCCTGTAGCCTATACAAATCCTTATAGGATACTTTTCAGAATACGCTGTACATATACCCTTTAAAATACCTCATACAATACCTTATACAAACCCCTAGAGAAGTGTTTCCAGAATATAGAGTC